CGACAACAATGGGTTTTACACAGCGCGACTTGGGTGACGTCCCATAAGTTTGCAAACTAAACTCTTAAAAAGAGAATGAGTGACGTCCCATAAGTTTGCAAACTAAACTCTTAAAAAGAGAATGAAAAGAACATATAAAACTTCTACATTCTTACAAATTAAAACATTTTAAAAAGAGAATGAAAAGAACATATAAAACTTCTACATTCTTACAAATTAAAACATTCAAAAGACAATCTGCAAAAGAGATTTAAGCAAACATAGAATAAAACATGGCTCTGAGACCAATTTAAGCATAATTAAAAAACAAAGAAAAGAGAGAAGACTTACAGAGTTCGACCTCCAATAGACAAGATAATATCTTTATTATACTCCACAATATTATACAATAGTTTTATTTTACAGAAGATCACTCAAGAACTTAACACTCTTACAAACTTTTTATTTTTTCTTACTTCAATACGATGCCCCCTTCTGCCTTCTTTCACTTCATATTTATAGACTCAACGACGAATCTTCGGCAGCCTTCTGAATTGACATAAAGTTGAAAGCGACATCGCAATATTCACAGAAGCCGCAATATGTATAGTCACCGCATAAGGAAAAGGTGATAGCGACACTTAGCATAAGAAGATTCTCCTTTAAGGAAAGTAAAGCTACTTTATAAAGCTGCTTTTTAAAGTAGCTTTTTGCTGTTTCTGGATGCTCTAGACGGCTCCCCGAGGCTCAATCTAGGATTTTTTATCTTCTTTATAAAGCTGGGCTTTTACCTTTAAGGTCTGGAGGATTATTGAAAATTTCTGCCCAAATATCTTCAGGATCTTGGGCATCCTGAATCAGGGTATCTTCTTCCATAGAAGATACATGACTATGAGTCTCTGAATCATCAAAGGCTTCAAAAAATTGCCTTCTAAAGTGTTCTAAGCATTTTTTTTTATTTCTGCTTCAGAACTTTGAGGATATTTTCTTCTCATTATTTTTTCCATTTTTATCATTGGGTTTTCCCTTTTAATTTCTTGAGTCATAGAAGACTCCAAAATAGAGGTATTTCTCTTGATTATTTCTTCTAATTCTTTAACTTTATCGTCAAGGCAAATACCCGTCCACCATCGGTATTGATAAGTTCTTTTAAGAACAGGAATATGTGAAGGGGTCCAGTCACATATAAGAGCCTAATTCCAAATCCAAGGTATTTCAACTTCTGCAAAGAAGTGTGCTAAGCACATGCCATCTATAAGCTGGCTTTCATCCATTCGAGATAATTTTGGATGTGAATCTATCCATGAGGAATATAATTTGAGAATTGGTTCAGGAATAATAGCAATTTCTATCCCGTAAATTTCTTTGTCGAAGCTTTTCTGGCTCTTGCATTAGAGCAACATCTTCTTGTTCTAAATATAGAACTATATCAGAATAGGGTTTATCGACCCATTTTGTTTCTTCCTTTACTATATTAGCAAAAGGTTCAGGAGTATTATCCTGTTCTACCATATCTTGTATTCCTTTATAAAAGGCTTTGGTATGTGAAGTATTGTTCTTTTTGGCGATAGTACGCCATGATATAGGTTGCTGAGATTGATGAGATTGCTGAGATGGAGTATAACTCCGATTTGAGATTGCATCTAGACCTATAAGGTCAGAATTTAAACTTGGATCGGGGCCACCTCTCCCCCTCGATGAAAAGGAGGATTTGCTCCGTCTCATTTGTACCCTGTAAAAATTCACGAGTTTATCCCTCTCCCCCCACCAACACCCTTCTTCCTCCTCCGTCAAGAAAACCCTCCTCCTTCCGTCTCCGAATCCCCTCCCCCAACAAGCTCCGCCTCCACCGCATCTTTGACCTCTTCGACCGCAACTCCGACGGCCTCATCTCCCCTTCCAAGCTCTCCCTCGCCCTCCACCGCCTCGGCCTCTCCGTCGACCCATCCAACCTCTCTCTCTTCCTTCTCCCCCACACCCCCGACGGGAGCATCCCGACGGCCTCGACTCCGTCGCCTTTTTTCTCTTTTGATGTAAAAATTGTAGCAACATCTTTCCTTTTTCTCTTTTTCGTTCATCAGATCCAGCATATGTATCTTCTTGTTCATCAGATCCAACTGGGTGTTTGCGATGGCGGGATCTTGTCTTCTGGCTCGTGGCTTACATGCACGGCTGGAATCGGGATGAGCATCCTGTTTGCTACAATGCCTATGGGGGTTTTCAAAGATAGAGAGATGTACAATAATGTTTTTGGGGACGACGAGAAATTGAAAAAAGTTTTTGAGGTGGAGGGTGCAAATAATGGAGAGGGGAGTCAAGTTGTTGCAGCTAAAGCCTGGAGATGCATCCAATCAGATCATGTCCCTGTTTCAGGATAATTAGCCTGGAGGCCTTTTTTTGATAGAATAGATTAGCCTAATTGATTTGTTTTGTATTTAACATGTTGTTCTAATGTTTATGTAGACACTGATTGTGGTTTGAGCTTGTATTAACTTGAGGTTGTTTTTTTATGTTGTTAGTGTTCTGATTTGGTGTAAATAAAATGATGTATGTTAGTGAATTTGATGTGTTCCAATTGTTTGAGAATTTCGTGAATTTGATATGTAAGTCTTGGTCTCGTATGACACCCTTGAATTATTCAATTAATCTTCCAAAATCACCCTAAGCTATGGGATTGGACTCACAAAACCCACTTAAAATTTAAAAAAAAATTAGGAAAACCTCCCCTCTTCGATAGAACTTCCCTGTATATAATCATGACATGATTATACAAATAATACATCAATACAAAATACATAATTCATAATATATAAACAATACAATGCACAATATACAACCATCTCTAAAGAACATAGAAGCATCGAAATGACAAACCAATCTGTATATTTCTTACTTGGAAATTAGAGCAGCATTTTCCATTACAACTTTGAAAATAAGAACAAAAGCTTTATCCCGATTTCTTGGGTTTGGCTATCTGTATTTAACTTTGACAGTTTCGAAGATAATTTGTCACTCAGCAAAAGTTGGACAAGCTGTATACAGTTCCAGCGACAAAACACAAATGACCATATTCAAGAGAGAGAGGTCGGATGGGTCAACAGAGAAGCTGAGGCGGTGGAGGGCGAGGGAGAGCTTGGAAGGGGAGATGAGGCCGTCGGAGTTGCGGTCGAAGAGGTCAAAGACGCGGCAGAGGCGGAGCTTGTTGGGGGAGGAGAGGAGAGGGAGAGGTTTGGGGAGATCTTCCCACGGTTGTTCGGTAGTCGACGGAGGGCGCACGGACGGCGGCGGTGTCGTGGCTGTAAGTTGGGGCTGAAATCGTGGGAAGGGGGGAGGGGAGAGTGATGGAAGAGTTTGGGGGAATTATGGAAAGAGAGAGATTTGGGGTCACTGGGGTACATGAAGGGGATTTTTTTCAAATACACGCTTCCAGTGCACGAGGGTGTATAGCTGGCAGCGCTTCTCCCTTAAATGCGTACGCATTTATGCATAGTTACACCCACCTGTAAAAACACATGTTTGAGCGTCAATATTAGCTATCAACACCTTTATTATGATCTACATGTCATCGAATGAGCGTGGATCAAATATCATGTGTCTTGGGCTTTTCTATCCTATAATTCAAACAACTCAAAATAACGGGCATTTTAGATATTGCAGACCATTTATTTCTAAGCCACTAGATGTATAAACTAGAAATATCTTATCTATGTGACATTTTTGATGAAATAATATCAAAATAAGAATATTCTAATAAACAAATATCCGAAAAAAATCCTCATCCAATTAAGAGAAATCATTCACTATCTTATACCAAAATATACCAATCAATTATCAATAATTTTGATTAATCAAATACGTTATAATGTTTTATGCCATGATATACTTATTCTTACAAGAATCACTACCCAAAAAAAGCAGCATATTTAGGTAGTATCCCCCACACCTTTGTTCCAGGTATCCATCCCGTCCGTCAAAAACGCTCCATGCATTAACTTCAATAAAACTAACATTATTTCTAAAAAACTCAAAATTACCAAAGCACCCCCAAAATCGTTAGTGGACCTCCTTTTTAGCGTAAAATTTAACACCCCCACGCCAACCAAAGGAAACTTTGTTGGGAGTTGCACAAAGCCACATGAACTTAGAAATTGGCAAAAAAATCCTTATAAACTTCGACTAGTTTCGTAAAACTCTTGGAAATCTTGAAAAGTTCAATCTAAAATTTGGGGAGAATCCCATTCTATACTCTGTTTGGGAAGAAAGGATAGATGAAATTAAAAAAAAACCAGTTACTTTATGATCTTTTAAAAAATGTATTTCAACATGTGAAGTTTATATAATGACAATGATATCTTTTCTTACTCCCGTGATAAGCAGGTATATTATGAGGACTACGGAGACAAATGAGCTTATTTTTGGCTAGAGACAACATTTCGGCCAAATTGAGTCACATGATCCTCACATACAGCCAACGTTGCTGACAACATGACGGTAATTGGGATCAATTAAATTGCGAAAAGAAGTTTTTTCTAACGTTAGGGCTCAAAAGTAGGGTTCAAATTGAGAATTTTGTTTGTAAATTGACTAGGGCAACTAAAATTGGAGTTAGATTCTTTATCCTCAAGCTCTTGCTCATGGTCAGGTTCAAGTATGAGCATGCAAGAAGTCAACTAATGGCTTAACGAGATGAAAAACCCTAGTTACCTTGCCATGTAAGCCTACTTAACCCACATCAGCTGTATGTGAGGAGTCACATGACTCAATTTGATTGAATTTTGGTTTTGACCAAAACATATGCTACTTTGTCGTCATAGTCCATATAATACACCAAGTTGTCGCAGGAGTAAGAAAATATATCAATGCGTCACTAAGAGTCAACAAAATATACAAATTTGGTAATTTTGCCATAATCTGAGAGAGCTTTATGAAAAGTGAAAATTCTGAAAGATTAAGGGGGTTTGTTCTAATTTCCAAAGTTCGGAGGCTTACTCTTGGTGATAGCGGTGCCACAACAAAATCACTAGCAGACGTCTCCCTCTTGTTAACGTCGGTTCGAGTTGATAGCGGTGCCACAACAAAGTGGTCCCCACCACCACCCCTCACTCCCCTCCACCTGTTCCCCTCGCCGGAGCTCCGCATCCTCCGGTGTCGACAAAAGAAACCCTAGGAAACAAAAAGGCGTCACCTTTTTCAAACGCCTCAACTTATTCCCCAAATTAAAGTGGATGCTTTGTCTTCATACAGAAGCAATTAAGCTCAGTTATCAAGCTGCTGCTTCTAGTTTCTTCTTCTTCTTCTTTGAATGGCGGTTGAGTATCACTGCTGCGATGCGAGCTTCTTCGTCCACATTCTGATCATCACTCTTCTCGTTCTCTTCGCCGGGCTCATGTCGGGGCTCACGCTCGGCCTCATGTCGCTCAGTCGCGTCGACCTCGAAGTTCTCGAGAAATCTGGGACGCCTCAGGATCGCAAGCACGCTGGTAACTTGATTTTATGTCGATTTCCCCCCCCTATTTTTGGTGAACGGCTTGGGTCGTTGATTTAGTTTATGTTTGGGATTTGAACAGCGAAGATATTGCCGGTTGTGCAGAAACAACATTTGCTACTTTGCACTCTTTTAATCTGTAATGCTGCGGCCATGGAGGTAATTTCTTTTTTCTTTTTTTTTGGATAATCAGTTACATGGGGTTATATTTTGGGTAAGTTACAAGAAACCTCCTTCGGCTTTCCCCTTTTTTTTATTTTAAAAACACCTAATCTATTATAGTTATTGAAATATTAGCTCTTAAAAAGTTTTAGCGGTAAACTTGTGATGCATGTGAAAGGATTAGTTTTAAATTCGGCAACTGTTGTTGTTGTTTTTATATAATATGCATATGTATTTTACCTGTGCTCACACAGGTGAGTATTACAAATAAAACATCGCAGTTAGATGAAACATAAGACATTCACATATTGGTTTAATCTAAAGTAATATCACGCCTAAACCTCAATCTTGTGGTGCTTGCATTATAATTTCAACTTAATTAGAAAAATATATGTGATTTTAAAATATCCATAAAACATCTTAAGAATCAAATATTTATTCCTAGAATAATCTTAAGAACCCATTAGGATTTCAATATAATTATTAGAACATATTAGATAAAGATGGGAGAATTTGTGATACTATTTTGTGTAATTTGTGTAAATAATTTGTTCATTGTATTGTATATAGTAGGAAATACTTTTCTTTTTAATTTTTAAATCCTCACATGTTATATATTTTTTATGGTGTCTTGTTTTCTATTAATACTTTAAAGAGAGATACGGGTGAACCAAAAACCCCTCTTTATAAAAATTTGTAAAGACATAACATCAAATCAATAAATAACAAAAAAAGAAAAGAAAAAATCATTAATAATATTTTAAGATGAAGACTAATTCACCAACTTTAAATATCATTTGACACATGTATAATTATATATTTATGATTTTAGATTTAATTTTAGAAGAACACCCTCAATTATGGTGGCTCAAGTATTTTAATTTGAGAAAACTACCCTAAAGTTGGGGCATATTATAGATAACCCCACTTGACTTTGAAAATTAGAGAAAACATTCTCAACTATGGGGTGTCTCACAAAATCCCCCTAATCTTTCACATTTTTCTCACTAAACCCCCTTGACCCCTTGACGACATTTCTAAATGTAACATAACTGAAATAGCCTTTTAAAAATCAATCTATTCAATTACAAAAAAACCCAACCGGTAGAAAAGAATAATTTTCAAATTACAATGCTTTTTACCCTCTTTCTCCTCTCTTTCACTTATCCTAAAAATTCATAGTATTTTTTTTATGATTGAGGAGTATTTTAGACTATTCTCTGTCACTTGTCATGTAATATGCTAGACCTAATAATGCTTGCTTTCAGGGCGTAAAGTGATTAGAGTTCATGGTTTTTTTTTAAATTTTCAAACTTGAGAGGGATATCTACAATAAGCTCAAACTTGAAGGGGTTTCTCAAATTAAAATAGTTGAGGGGGTTTTCTGAGACACTGTATATTTGAGCAGGGTTATGTGAGGAAAGGTAAACTGGTTATCTCAAATTTTCATAGTCAAGGGGAGGTGTCGACAATATGCTAACTTGATGGGTTTTTCTCAAATTAAAATAGTTGAGGGGTGATTTTCTAAAATTAATCCGTGATTTTATGTAGAGATGCTCTTTACATGAGTTTTTTCTTTGATTTCTATATTTAAATATATAATTAATATATGTTATGGATAGTTAAAATCTGATAATGAATAAAAAAATATTTGATTGTTAAAATTTCTAATCATAAATCGTTTTAATTTGATGAGAAAACTTAGGTGAATATAAGAATAGGTGTCCTAATGTTATCGGCTAATAGGATAAAGAGACATGTCGATTCAACCAAACATCCTCAACTATTTTAAGCTAAGAAGACCACCCTAAACTTTGGGCATATTATAGATAACTCCACTCAACTTTAAAAATAAGAGAAAAGCCTCTCAACTATGGGGTGTCTCACAAAATCCTCCTAATTTTCACACTTCTACCAAACCCTATTGACATCATTTCAAACGCAAAATAATTGAAATATGTTCTTGAAAATCAACCAATTCAATTACAAAGAAACCGCCAACTGGTAAAAACGAACTATTTTAAAATTTGTAATGTTTTTTTGCCCTCTTTCTCCTCTCTCTCTCTCTCTCTCTCTCTTATTCTAAAAAAATCAGAGTAATTTTTTATGATTGAGGGGTAGTCATGCATGCTAGACCTAACAATGTTAACATTGAGGGCGTAAAGCGAGGAGGAGTTCGTGGAGATTTCTCAAAATGTCAAACTTGAGGAGGGTGATCCTCAAATTAATTTTTTTTTTTTTTTTGGGGGTGGGGGGGGTTGGCGGTAGGGGTGTATGAGACATGCTATATCTGAGGAGGTTTAAGTGAGGAAAGTTCAAGGGGTCATCTTAAATTTTCATAGTTAGGGGGGTTATCTACGGTATGTTCAAACTTGAGGGGGATTTTCTCAAATTAATATAGTTGAGGGGGTTCTAAGATTAAACCATGATTTATATATAGAGCTCTTAACATGGGTTTTTCTTTAATTTCTATATTTAAATATATAATTATGAGATTTTTTAATTATGGATAATTATAATTCGATAAAGATTACAAAATATTTAATTATTAGAATTTTCTAATTATGGATATTTTTTACTTTGATAAAAATTATAAGGTGAATATAAGAATAGGTGTCCTGATAGGATAAAGAGACATGAAAGTACTTATGATATGACACATGTCAACTTTTTGGGTCTTTAGAATATGATACATGTCAATTTTCTATGACTATAGCAATTCCACCAATTTCTCATTATATATAAGGGAGGGATTCTATCATCTTCTTCATATACGACGGGGGGTTACATTACATTACAAATGTACACAATTATGATTAGATGAAGGTTTATTAACAAAATTTCTCGCCTTATTTATCATTGTTAATAATTTTATAGTGAGAAGTTTTGTTCGTGATTGCAGACTCTTCCTATTTTTCTTGATAGCCTTGTCTCGGCGTGGGGTGCTATATTGATTTCAGTGACGTTGATACTTCTTTTTGGAGAGGTGAACTGAGCAATTTGAATTGAGATGATTTGATATCCAATTCTAAGTGTGTTTATATGTGCAGATTATACCCCAATCTGTCTGTTCGCGATATGGATTAGCAATTGGAGCAGCAGTTGCGCCGATAGTTCGTGTGCTCGTATGGATTTGCTTTCCGCTTGCATATCCAATTAGCAAGGTGACATTTGATTAATTTTGCAAATTTATTGAATCATATTCGAAGGATAGTTTACTTAGCAAAATTATCTAACTACTATTATTTATTGAATATGCAACAGTTGTTGGACTATCTGCTGGGAGATGGACATGTAGCTCTTTTCCGTAGAGCTGAGCTGAAAACACTTGTGAATTTGCACGGAAACGAGGTCAGATTTCTAGTTATATTCAACGTGTTGAGTATAGGGTAAATTACTAGATTGACAAAAAAGTTACACCCCTTTACTAACAAGACCTAAAAAGTGACGCCGATGACAATAAGACCTAAAAGGTGACCCACTTTACCAACAAGGCATATCAGATCACCAAATTTTTTTTATCTGAGCGGCAAAATTAACATTTTTTGCATATGTACGCCTCATATTTCCCATATTTACAAATTTACCTCCCAAATTCTAATGCTTGAAAATAATCCAACTCTCTCGTCCATCTCTTCCATCCCCCTCTCTTCCTAGTCCCCAGCTCCCCTTCTCTTCCACCCCCTCTCCCCTTTCCTCCTCCCCCACATCCTCACCCTCCCTCCTCCTCACATTCCTTCTCCAATCACATCCCTCTTCCCAACCTCTCTCTCCTCTCTCCCCTCACTCTTCTCCTCCCCCCTCTCCCCTCTCCCCTCTCCCCCTCTCCCGAAGAGGAGGAGGGAGTGGAGGAAGGGGAGGAGAGAAGGGAAAGGAGAGCGAGGGAAGAGAGGAGAGAGAAAAGTTGAGAAGAGGGGTATATATGCAAAAAGCTCTAAGTTTTTTTTAATATTAGAAGTTGGGGGATAAATCTGTAAATATGGAAGATTTGAGTGGTATATATATGCAAAAATCCCTTAATTTTCTTGCTCATATAAAAAATCTGGCGAACAGATATGCATTTTGAGTTTTAGACCTTCTTGTCATCAGCATCACTCTTTAGGCCTTGGTAATGGCGTGTCACTTTTTATGCCAATCGGGTAATTTAGCCGTTGATTATATCTATTCAGTTTTCACATACTGTCAACTCTGTTCTCGTAATGATTGGAAACCAAGCTTGACTTAAATGGGGTGTCTCTTGCTTGATTACTGTCAACCACTACTGTATATCAAAATCCTTAAAATAGTACCATTGAGATTTGGGTAGTGTATATTCTGTTGCCAGAAACATATATACATAACACAACCGGTTGTACTGGAACTCTTCAAATTTAGACTTTTGGCATTACATACACTCAGATTCTAAGGATACTTGGTAATTTAAGTAATAATGTCGCAATTTCGCTGCTTACTTATAGCTTTTTGCATGTAAAATATAAACCAGATTGTATCAGATAAAATTCAAAGGTTTTTGTTGAGCTCAAGCCGAATTTCTTTAGTTAATTATTAATCAATTACTTAGCTATGTATATATTTTGCATCATGCTTGTGCTGTATCATATACTTCTAAGGTACGTCACTAAAACAATTGACACCCATGTGTCGAGTTAAGAGTGTGTACCCAATCTTCTGCAAGCAGAAGTGAGGTGTATGTTGTTTATGCTCTCTCCCTTTGCTGTAGATGATGCTATATGATTGGTATGTTTAAATCCCATGTCATATTCATTTGATGTGCATCTGCTCTACATCAAAGCTGATAAATATGTTACTTTCTTACATTGTTCCTAATTGTTCTTGGTGGAGAATAGCACATGCTTAACATGAATGCAGCATAAATCTCCATATGTTGCATGATGCCAAATGTATAGACTAATATAATACTGTATATTGATACTGTGTTTTCTTTATATGCTGCTACTTTTTATCATGGCAAAAGAGTATATATTAATTATGCCCCACCTAGCTTAAGATTCTTGCTTCATCCTTAAGTCCTCTAGATCTTCAAGTTTCTGTGTCCTGCCTATTGGAATGGAAACATTTCCTGCATCAAACAATGAATAAAATTAGCCATTGGTCATTACATATTTTCAATTTCATGAATAATATATGATGTTGATGTAGGTCTGGTACATATCCTTTGACTGTAATCAGAAACTAAAGAGATAACGATAACATCAGTAATATTACTAAGCTGGTAGTCGAATTTATGCTCTTACAGATTTGTGTTACTAAGTCATTAATTTTTTTTATTTTTTATTTTTTATTTTTTGCTGACTTGTAAATAGGCTGGCAAAGGCGGAGAGTTAACCCATGATGAAACAACTATCATAGCTGGAGCACTTGAACTTAGTGAAAAAAAGGCAAGGGATGCCATGACTCCTCTATGTCAAACTTTTGCTATTGATATCAATGCCAAACTTGACAGGTATTTCCCGCATTCATCGCGTTGAGAGACATGAAGTTGTTCCCTGCTACTTGTGATATTGACTTTGTCTGGGATTTTTTATGCAGAGATTTAATGAAGATGATTATGGATAAGGGGCACAGCAGAGTGCCAGTTTACTATGAGCAGCCTTCAAATATAATTGGACTTGTATTGGTATGTTTCAACTAATGTTTTTGTTTAAAGCAATTAATAATGTTTCCATTATTAAAGCAATGTGCAGATGTTCTTGTTTTCTATTAGCATAGGGATACTCAAGCCATTGGTCCACAGACCTAACAGAGTTGGATGCTCCCAATTGAAGAAAATTAAGGGGATATTTTCTTCTTTAGCCAATACAAACTTATGTTTGCGGACCACTGATAGAATTAATATCACTCTTTCTGAATGTAGGGCATCAGAATTCGTAATGCCCTTGTTTCTTAAAAGGGAAATGCAACTTCAAGTTCTTCTTTAGCTATTTCAAAAACGTAGTGGCCTTCATATGATCAACATTGATGTTCATAAAAATATTTTAACTCTATATATGTGATTAACAATGAGTTATGTGGTATGATTCAATCATATTCAGGTAATGTCTGTCTTCATCGACGATACTTAGAATTCTATCTTCCATGCAGGTGAAGAACTTGCTAGCCATTAACCCTTCCGATGAGGTAGCTGTTAAGAATGTCACCATCCGCAAGATTCCACGGTAAGCTTTAGCCTGAAAGAAATCAGTTGGAATAATCTATCAAAACTGGAGCTGTCAAATCTGCTGATTTCTCCACACTTACATCTTGCCAAATTTCAGTAATATATCAAAATTGGTACATGAGACTTCTATAGAACTTAAGTAATGCCACCTTAATTTATGATTAAGAAAGTTCTGTTTGGTTATTCAACATAGTTGGTTTTCCCCCTCCATATTTGGCATCCAAAAATTGAGCCGATCTGTTAACTGTTGAACATGGTGGGCAATTGCTTAGCGACAATGTTAACATGGCTCAAGGAAAGCAATACATTTAGTTAAACTATTTGCCTGAGAAACTGAGTGTGTTACTAAAGAGATCACGCATTCTGAATCTTCCTCCTGATAATATTAAGTCATGTATTAACTTTTGGGGATTTGGCTTGTTCGAAGTCACTTAGATACAATATTACCAAAACTGGATCTGTGAATGGCCATTGATTTTGTACACCAGGATATTTTTAGCAAAATTCAGTAATTGCATCTGCACTTGTATCAAGAATAAACACCTACATAATACAGATCTATTTCACCAGTGAGAGTTTTTTAGTTTTTAATACAATTGAAAATTTTCCATCTTTGGATTGAAAACGTTGTGCTAGTTAGACTAGCCGACTATTTAACATAGCAGAAATTAGTGAACGACTAAAAGGTATTAATGAAAGAAATAGATTATCTAATGTTACAAGTTTACAACTTGACAACTAATGCAACACCTCTTTAGTGACACTTTAGTAGTTTTTAGAGTTAATCTGGCAAAGATTTTATTTTCTTTTAAATCGACTAGTGTAGAGGAGTTTTCTCTCAAATTTAATATCTATTTTAGCATCTCTCTTCAGCATAAATATACGTAAATCTTCTCGTTCCCTCACTAATTTAGTAGGAAGTTTTATTTTTCCCTAATTTTGTGTCGTTACTTTTGATCCCTGCATTGATCATAGACTTTCGTTCTCACTCTATTCCAATGCCAACTATCACACATTTTATCTGGAGTTGCATCATTTGCTTTAGATTTGGACTCCATATAGACAGATGTAGGATTTATTCCTAAAAAGAGACGGTTCTGCTGTGGTGCTGAGGAAGATTCCAGCAACAAAAGGAAAATTTAGTAGGAAGTTTTCTTTTCCCTAATTTTGTGTCGTTACTTTTGATCCCTGCATTGATCATAGACTTTCGTTCTCACTCTATTCCAATGCCAACTATCACACATTTTATCTGGAGTTGCATCATTTGCTTTAGATTTGGACTCCATATAGACAGATGTAAGATTTATTCCTAAAAAGAGACGGTTCTGCTGTGGTGCTGAGGAAGATTCCAGCAACAAAAGGAACATTAGGCCTTATGTTTGTCAATATGGCTGTGCACGGTTTCCTTGGGAGTTAGCAATCAAGAGCAGGCAATTCATAATGTTAGAGGATCTTTATATTCTTATTTTTGTGGTTAATCTCTTGGCCTATTCTCACATTATGTCAGGCTTATACTATTTTAAGTTTCTCTTCCCAAGTTTAATTCCCAGAATTTGTTTCTTGGAAGTACTGAATTTAAGAACAACTTTTTTCTTTTTCGTCTTTCTAAAAGGTTCTGCTTTAGTCGACAATGCTGGCGGTTGATTAGGCTTTATATTTTCCAAATTCATTTCATCAATATGTTTTCCAATTTATTCATTAGTTAAAACAGAATCTGTCATGAATGCTTTTGATACCTATACAAGAGAGACATAGTAGTCCATACACAGATTCCACTTTTCTGAAGTAATCATACTCAGTAACCCAGCTGATGTCCCAGCATCACTGTGGTGTAAGCATTCATGGTAATAGCATTGGAGGAACATTGTTTATATGTTTGTGGAACTGTCCCTGAATTCGTGTCGTGTTGAAAACTGTTCAGAAATAAACAGATACGTCTAATGGTGATTGGTTTAAGATATTTCTGATGCTTGATTTGAAGCATTTGAACCACTAAGTGACTATAGCTTGTAGTCCTATATGAAGCCATGAAGGAATTCGAAGGGGTATTAGACTATGGTTCATCAGTATGGTTTCCGAGTTTATTTATTAGTTAAAAATAATATGCCATGAATGATTTGACACCTGTACAAGAGAAACATTAATACTCCTTACACAAATTCCACTTTTCTGAAGTAGTCATACTCTGTAACCCAGGCCATACCTCAACATCACTGTGGTGCAAGCATTCTTGTTAATAGCACTAGAGTTGTTTATATGTTTGTGGAACTGTTCCTGAATTAGTGTTGAAAACTGTTCAGAAATAAATAGATGCATCTAATGGTGATTGGTTTAAGATATTTCTGATGCCTGATGTGAAGAACTTGAACCACTAAGTGATGTATCAACATAGACTTCTGCTTGTAATCCTATATGAAGCCATGAAGGAATTCAAAGGGATATTAGAATATCACGTTAGGCCTTTCCATCTCATTGGCATAGGTCATGGGAAATACTGCCTAGCCAAAATAATAACAAAATAAAAACGAAATCCAAATGAGAGAACTTGCAAGATTTTTATAGTGATTTAGATAGAAATCCTACATTCACTCTTCCTTCTCAGGAAGGGCCTTCCCCACTCTGATCAGAGTTTTACCTGAATCACAATCCGATTCAGTAGGCTTACAAAGACTACACCATTAAATTTACCCAAAATCAGTCATCTAACCTACCTCCTCATAGATGAGTAAAACACCTGGTCCTAACTAGTTCTAACCCTAATTATCACTCGCTTGAGTACGCTATAAAAACAAGATAAAGAACAAACTAACCAAACTGTTTAGGCACAAATTAAAACGATCTCACAACCCTTTTAAGCAAATTGTTCTTCAAAAGATATAAGCAAAGATCGATGAAGAAGCAGTGATGACGTTGAACGCGAAGGGCAATTCTTCTCACTGAGACGATCCTTAGATGCCAAGCACAACGAAAAATGTTTGACGGGGCTCCGAGGATTAAAATCACAAATCAACATCTCATTCAAAACGCTACAATAAATCTCCTTATTTCTCAGAGCATGAATCTCTACAAAATATGATCTCTTGCTATCTTAGATAACATTTGATAATGAAGTATAGAGATATAAAAATCTGTAAGAGACCTAGAAGAACTCACTCCTAAAAGCTAGCTTGTAGTGGGAGGGAGCCCATATCCCTTATAAACCCACATTAAGTCACCCATATAACTGATGTGGGACTAAATGGATCTTAACATACCACCACGCTTTCGATCCCATCGCCTACGTGAGCTGGCTTTGCACTAGTCTAGTCCCGATCGAACACCACAATCCCGACATCACCCTTTTGGCTTTGCACTAAACTAGTGGTGGTCACTGCAATATTGGCGTCACCATCCACATCGCTCGATGGCAACCATAAGTTAGGTTCGGCTCTAATACCACTTGCAAGAGACCCCGGAGAACTCACCCTTAAAAGCTAGTTTGTAGAGGGAGGGAACCCAAATCCCTTATAAACTCACATCAAGTAACCCATATAACCAACATGGGATTAAATGGACCCTAACAGAATTATAGTAAAAGTTGGAGATGAAAGGGGTCGACAAATTGTTGGGATTAAATCACTAAATCTACTAACTAGCGTCATCACCTTTGACAGTAAAGCATGACCATCGATGGTCCCTGCTCACCATCAATGGTTACTTTGTAGTCCATTGATGGTTCAAAATCTAGTTTCTGGAATTGATCGAATGTTTATTGTAGTCCAATGCTATAGCTGATCATCAATGAGTCCTCGTAGTCCATCGATGGTGCTGAATCATGTTTCTGTTTTTCTCCGATTGTGCACTATAATCTATCGATTCACTAATGGCAATCAATGGTTGCCTCGTGACCATCGATGGTGTGAAGGCTGAAATTAACATTTATGTTGATTTTTGCATCGTTTTGCCCTGTATCTCTCATATACTTGTTTATACCTGAAATATATCATCTCAAACAATCATCAGTAACAAATAAGAGTTTGTTACTACTCAAACAAGAGAATTGTACGAACAACATTCTAACAAATATCATTTTAGGTTGAAAGACGATTAGTATACTTAACCATTATCAGGCATATGGAAAGGCTACGTGATGTCAAATAGAAATCCAGAATAGTTAGGAAAAGTGGAGAGCACGTTTGAAGTATGAAATATAATAAGCAAAACTTTAAATAGGCAATGCTACCTTAAGAAAGGCAATGCTAACTTAAGAAAGTACGAGAAACTACTTAAAATTTAGATAATGATGGAATGGAAAATTTGAGTAGAAGTTATTGAAACTAACACTAAGCTCTTGGGGCTCTATACATCTCATAAAGAATCAGAGAAGCGGGAAAATTGGGTCCAACTCATTAAACATAATAAACAAAACTTTACATAGGCAACCTTAATGTAAGAAAGTAAGACAAATTACTTCCAATTTAAATAATGATGGCATGGAAGATTAAATAAAAGTTATTACCATGGAAAATTAAATAAAAGTTACTGAAACCAACGCTAAGCTGTTTGGGCTTTGTACATCCCATTAAAATCAAATTCAGTGAAAAAAATTTCGTCCAACAAACTTTAGTAAGATGGATCATGTATAGAGCATACAACTGTCTTTTCAAGAGCAGGTTCTAATAATCAATTGTAGCTAAAGGGCTGCTTGTTTGGCTAAAAAAAAAGGAAATCAGAGAACGGGAAACCTATTTCTAAGAAAACTTGTTTTATGGTTGTTTGGTTGGCTAAAAAAAGAAAAAAAATCAAAGAATAGAAGAAGAGATGAGTTGTCACTATATTATTGGATGATGTGGGTGATTTTTTAAGAAAACTTGTTTTGAGATTGTTTGGTTGGTTAAAAAATAAGGAAATGAATTATAAGAAACCTATCTCCTATAATAGGTTCTTTTCTTGTGCTCGGTTCATTCTTAAAATAAGAAAATAGATGAGATGAGATGAGTTGTCATTATATTATTGGATGATGTGACCCATACTTAAGAAAATCAATTTCCTTGGTTTTTTTGAAGAAATGGGTGGAAATAAAATTTTAATGAGATGAGATGAGTTGTCACCATTTTATTGGATGGTGTGAGTGATTTTTAAAGATGAGATGAGATGGAGATGAGATGAGTTGGATGATGTGACTAATTTCTTGTGTTTGGTTTAGTTTTAAAAGTAAGAAAAATGAGATGAGATGTGATGAGTTGGTGGATAAAAATAATATTTTATTGGATGATGGTGGTGAGTTTTAGGGATGGAAATGGATGAAAATAATATTTTATTGATTGAAGTGCATAGATTTCCTTTTCTTGGTTTTTAGGAAACCAACCAAACAGCCCTAAGTCATGTTTCGGAAGTCAAGAGTAAATTCACGTCTTTTTCTTAGTTTTCTTGCATTTTCTTGCTCTAGTTTCCCGATAAAATCTTGGCATAATTGCACCTAACTACTCTATAGTTTCACCTATTTTGCACATTTATACCCTAGTTGTATTTGGTTACAATTAAATACCCTAGAGTTTCTAAAAGTTGCATTTTAGTACCCTCCGGTTATACAAATGTGAGACTTTCGCTTTGAATATTCTCATGCAACACTCACATGCTAATGTCAGAACATTTTAACTCTCACTATTTTGTTAAATTTACTGTTAAACCTACCAAAATCCTATGTTAGGATAGATTATGGTAGGCTTAAAATAGGATTTTTGATGGGTTTAAAAATAGATTTAACAAAAAATAAGGAATAAAATGTTCTAAAGACAACATGTGACTGACGCATGAGAATATTTTTGGGGTGTGGCCGCGTAGGGGGTTAGGGGGATTCTCACCTTTGCATAACCGAGGGTCCTAAACTGCATCTTTTAAGAATTTTAAGGTATTTAAGTGCAATCAAATACAACTGGGGGTAAATATGTGCAAAGTAGGTGAAACTAAGTGAAATTAAACCCCCAAATCTTTCAGCGATTATATCTACATAATGGGGTCAGAAAGGGTTCGAGCCTTTTTGTTGTCAAATTTATGTTGATTCAATTCACACTTGGACCATATTTTCATCACAACACACAGGTACTACATTTTTGGCCAAGGCAAGTTGGGCTGCTCGAGACTAGCCATGAGATTTAGAACTTCATTTCACGGTCCTTAATAGTTATTGCAGTTTTGTTGGAGAAGATGAATATGGTCTACAGGAGGCTAAGGCATGATACTCAGAAGGCAGCTGGTGGATGCACATTTCTGAAATTCCCTATTAGTTATTGCAGTTTTGTTGGAGAAGATGAAAATGGTCTACAGGAGGCTAAGGCATGTTACTCAGAAGGCAGCTGGGGGATGCACATTTCTGAAATTCTCTATTTAGAAAAACTTGACTGAACTTTTCACTTCAAATTGGAGTTCTCCATATAGTCATTTCCCCCTGGCAAGCATCCGCCTAATCTCTTAGGGCATGTGATGTTTCCCTTCACATACTGGTCAATTAGGTGGGGAATATCATGAAAGAAACTACCTATGGTTGGTTATTACCATTGGCCTTCAACATGTGGCCATAATATTACTCCCTGCAAAGTGTATTTGGTATCTTTTTCAACATCTTATGTTGCTTTACTACTATATTGAGAAGCTAGCTGATTGAACCAATTAACTTTGAGATCAGTATTTAAGGAATTCGTGGTATATTGAACTATGTCCTTTGTTTTGCTAGGGTTTTAGAGGACATGCCTCTATATGACATTCTAAATGAATTCCAAAAGGGCCACAGTCATATGGCAGTTGTAATAAAGCGGAGCACTCCCGTAGAACAACAAAATGGAGATGGTGGTAATTTCCTAAACAATCTCATTATCATAACTTTTCTCCAGTAGTATTAAATCTCACATTTTATTGCCATTGTTATGCTAATAGAGAAAGATGTGAAATTGGAAATCAAGGTCGATACGCCCAACAGAGATAAACCTGAAGAGAAAGTTATAAAAGTGAAGAGGCCACTACAAAAGTGGAAGAGTTATCCTTCAGGTGTTCTACAGCGAGAAGGAAGCCTTCGAGAAGGAAGCCTTCGAGGTGGTAGGAAATGGTCGAAAGCTGCAATGGCTGATGTTTTGCAAATTGATGATAAGCCACTACCGAAGTTAAATGAAGATGAAGAGGCTGTTGGGATTATAACCATGGAAGATGTCATCGAAGAGCTATTGCAGGTTAACTCTTTACTAGATATTGACCATTGTTTTGTGCTTGTGAAAAACTTCTGCATTTTTCATAACCTATTTCCAGATAAGCACCAACTTTTCTTGGGTTATCTGAAAAAAATTTAGGGGTGAACTGACATTTCCAAACTTTTTTTTGGGTTATCTCAAAATAGGTCAAATTCTTGGTTCTTTTATTTTTTTAATTTTTTTATTTTTTTTTTAAATTTTTATGTGTGGTGTGGTGAAATTTGCCTTGAGTTCAATTCAGACGATATTATTTTGTGAATGCAGGAAGAGATCTTTGATGAGACGGATTACCCAGAGGATCAGTTAACTGATGGTGTCTGGCAATAATACTGGCACTAAAGAACGAGGATGTGAAGGCCAATTGCGTCGATTTGGCATTGAAATGTCAAAGAACAAATTTTGGGAGTTTTGTGGCTTTAGTGAGTGATGAAAACGAAAGGCTTGAATTTGCATGGATGGATATGAAAACGCGTGTATTGTAAATGATTATAGTTGATGATGAAAGGTGAACCAATGCAATTCTGTGCCCCTTCCTCTCACATGTTTATCAACACTGAGCACGGCACTTGCAAAAATTGAGGGATAAATGAAGATTGAATAGTCTGTTAGGTTTTGGATCAGGGTTTAGATGGAGCCTCAATTTGGAATCATGTTGTGTGCGGCGCGATACTTTGCTTTTTGTGAAGGAAGGCAGTAGCAGGTTTTGCAGGGTATAACAAGACGGCTACGTAATTTTTGATTGGTGTTGATTGGTAAGTTAGTGTTGGATATTTATCGCTTCTGGTGTAAAAATTATGACCTACAATCCTCGTTAACTTGGGTATTTTGTGATGGTATTAGATTGATTATACTTAGGTCCCTATTTAACTTAGATATTTTGAGATGGTATCAAAACGATTCATACTTGGGTTCCCTATCCAACTTTGTGTTTACAAATGTCTTTTTGTAACTTTTCTATATTTATATCAGAACCCCGAAGTTATAGTGAAGATCGAGGGTTATAATTTTATCCTTGAATGACTCACAATCTGTATGTCTGTCTAAAAGATTAAATTATAGCCATCATCAATGACACGCATTACTTTTCCTTGGCAAAGAGGAGGACCTTGAAAAGTGCTCAGGTTGTTTGTACGCAAGCAAATACAGTTCTGACTGGCAGCTAAGTTTGAATTAAGACCAGCTAACAAAATGCAGTACTAATTATGTAAGAAATCATCCAAATTTAATCTCCAAGGGTTCGATACCTGACTGGGTGCAATTTGGTCAGTTCAAACATTAGGTAACTGGTCTCTCAACGCAATAAAGCAATAATACGTTGCCATATCTTGTATGTTGTCGGAGTAACATCTATTTTCCATCACCAAGTAGACAATAACGGATTGCGATCCTCTCCACTATCAAAAAAAAAAAAAAAAAAAAGGACGGATCACTATAAAATTTTAACCATTAACTATCTAGTCAATGGTTATGATTTTTTCTTTGAGTGTAAATTAGTAATGAGTACAATATGCGAGGTATGGTGAGTGTTTGATTTAGATTGTATCATAACTTCCTGCTAAATAATCAACGATTGAAATTAAAAGTATTTGTCCCTTCACTACTTTCTTGTAGTGGAGATGATCCAAATTCGAAAATAACAGCTTGTCCTTGAGATAGTTGTGGACCCACCCTCCTTTAAACAACTTCTATAATAAGGTCTTTACCTCAATGAAGTAGGGTAAAATCATTTAGACGGGCTCAAATACCAAACGAGTATATAAAGTGACACAACTTTAGCATTTTAACATATAAAGTGACGCCGACAATGAATTGCCATAAAAAGTCCGTAGTTGTAACAATAAACTCCAGTCGGTGGCACGTCGTGGGTGTGAAAATTATTGGGTCTTACTCCTCAAATCTCTCATATTTTCAGAGATAACCCACAAGTTTTGAAAATTGTAAAATAACCGAAAATTGATATTTTAACCCGATTTAGACGTATTCTTTTAATTAAAAAAAAAAAGAGCGCCGGCTCTCTGGATGATCGTTGCACCAACCGGGCTTAGTTATATACTTTCCTAAATTAACATGTTAGTTGTATAAGATAGTTAGATCTTCAATAAGCCTCCCATTGTCAACCTTTTAGGAGCACGTATCCTCAATTTCAGATGGGTATCAATAAAATATAAAACAATGATTATCTACAAAATCTAGACACGTGTAAGTTATGTAACACAAATTACTATCTCTGAATAAGATAATGCATCAAATTGCTTGCTTATCTTGCTATTAGAAGTAGCAAACCTAGCTTCATTTTCAATGGAAAGATGAGTTGAACCAATCCCTCCCTCTTTTCAAGCAAATGGTCTACCACATACTCAAAAGTTCCTCTCTCATAAAAATGTCGTGCTTATCACTCCAGTGATGCAAATTGAATAAATTAATCTTCTGTTGTTTATTTAAGCGGCACAAATTACTCTCTCTTTAAGAATTAAAACTCAAACCGGGGACAGAACCTACAGCATAACAAGAATCTTTGTCGAGGCATATGCCTGTTACAATGTAATATGTACAAAAAGCTTACACCAGCTCTTTCATACAATAATGACTATCCAACGATATAGTTAAGCTTGTTATTTATGAGCCAGGGTCCTACATTTGGCTGTTCCTGTGTTCATGAGCAAGCTTGTCTTTTAGCATTGGAAAAAATTCCAGTCAAACTGGTTTGGGATTATGAAAATAATTTATGTGATTAGGAAACAAACAAGAATAATAAGCCCATTGTAGAATCTCCTAATAAAATACTACAGTTTTATACTCTATGGGGAGTACTAATCTAGTTGATTTATTTCTGTATTACTTGCATATCTAAATTTGACATCTTCTGTTAGGAGCATGTTTGGCGAGTGATCAAAGCGGCTTATAAAGCCAAAAGAAGCCATTTGTCAGACACGTCAAAGTGGTTTACAAGCCACAAGTTTTGACCATATAAAAGAACAATATACTCCTCGCCATTTCATAAAATTCCAAGCCCTATTTATCTCTCTCGAACCTCATTAAATGTTTTTTGGTCATTTGTAAATAAAGATGGCTTATAAGCTACCCATCTTCAAACACTCTATTATTAAAAATAGATTATAATCTACCAAATTTACCATGCAGTTTGTCTCACAATCCATTTGTGGATTATAAGCCCAGTGCATTCTAATAGTATCAAGACTCAATATCAATCCCAAGTTGTGCTTTGCCCTGAAGTCTGAACAATTCTTATTTTTTGCCTGAATTATGTTCTACCATGTGTTATCAAGAATTTTGAAAACATCCGAGCATTTCAATTCCAATCTCTCTCGATCTGCTGAACAAGCACAACCACTTGATCATATAATTAATTATTAAATTATTCGCTGTAGTTGGCTGCATTGTTCCATTGCTTCATTTCAGGAGTGATTACAGTGTGATACATAGAATCCGAAGAGAAACATGTGGAGACTATAAGATCTGTTTTCTTTTCTCGCCTCTCTCCTACAACAATTGCACATGCTTCATGCTTGTATATAGTACCTTCTGTTGATAATTAAAAGTGCATGAGGACAGCCTAGATGCATATTGCAATGTTTATCACATTAATTAAGTACTTCGTAGAAATCGTCACTTCCCATATTACCAGATATTGCGACTACTGATAATGAGAAAACAAAAAGTGATTCAGCAAGCCACATGTTCATGTGAAAACGGCGAAGGAATTGAGAAAAAAACATGAAGTATAAGCAAGACAGGTTCCACCACACCCTGGTGGTGTCTGCCACACCCTGGTGTGATAGAATTTACCCTGTTTTTCAGGGGTGTGATGTGTGCCACACCAGGGTGTGGCAGACTCGTTTTTAGAATCCCAATCTGTTTGGGATTGTGTTTTGTTATAAATAGAACCACGTTTTTAAGGGTTTTTTAAGGAGACAATTAGCATTGTTTTGAGCATTTTGAGAGAGAGATATTGTGAGGGTGTTGAGAGTTTTTGTTAGGGTTATATTTGAGTGATTGTGTGAGTTGTAACCTGTTGTATTTCTCCTCCATATAGTAAAATCTCTCCATCCTCTCCCCGTGGACGTAGGCAATTGCCGAACCACGTAAATCTCTATCTTGGTTTGATTTGTGTCGTATTTTTGTGAATTGCACCCGTATTTGGTTTGGTTTTTCTTCTCTTATCACTCACCGACTCGTTTGGTTGTCGAGCACGCTTCCGCACGGCGCGCAACAATTGGTATCAGAGCTCAGATTTAAGATCTAGGGTTTTGGCATTGGGTGGAGGAAGATTCATTGTGGAAGCTTGGTTCTTGGAGTTCTAGGCTTCGGTGGAGATAGCGTTGCGGAGTTGCCGTTGGGATCTCGCTTTCCTTGTGTGGTTAGAAGATCTATTTGGAATCCAATCTAGGGTCCAGTTAGGAAATTTATCAATCCTATCAAAGTTTGAATTTTTCTCTACAATTTAGAGTTTATGAGCATGGGTGAAGAAGTTGGTGAAAGCAGCAAGATGACGGGTACAGTTCAAGTTGGTTTTCAGAACACTAAAATAAGTGTGGTTAAATATGACGGCGAAATCAATTTTGATTTATGGATGAGCGACGTACATGACGCTCTCAATGCTCAAAATTTGAAAGAGACCATCATGATCCATGAGAGGCCACCAAAATACGAGGAGGCGATATGGGAAAAGATGAATAGGAATGCTTGTGGGATGATCATGTCTTGTTTGGAACAGGAGCTGAAGTATGATGTGATTGGGGTGACATCTGCAATGAAGATGTGGGAAGTTCTCAATAATAACTATCTTACGAAGAGTATTGAGAACCGATTACACTTGCTGCGTAGATTATTCAGATTTTAAATGTCCAGGGGCATCTCACTAGCAGTTCATGTGAACAACTACATTAAGTTATTATCGGACTTGGTGGATGTTGATGAGAAGATATCGGATGAGTACAATGCGATTATTTTGTTGGGCTCCTTACCAGATGAGGAGTATTATACCTTTGTGCTTACTTTGTTGAATGAGAGATCTTCTATCAGCTATAATGAAGTAACTAACGCTTTGACGAACTATAATTTGAGGAGGAAGGACGAGGAGACTTCCCGCGTTAGTACTTCAGGAGATGCCTTGTCGACGAGAGGTAGAAGCCCATATCCGAGAGATAGTAATAGGAGCAGGTCAAAGTCTAGAGGTCATTGCTAGTTAGCTAAAAACCAGTGTGCGTTCTGCAAGGAGCAGGGACATTAGAAGAGAGACCGTCCAAAGATCAAGGAGAAGGAGAATAGCAAGAAAAAGGGCCCGAATGTCAATGAGGTGAATATTGCGAAAGACAATGATTCTGATGATTCGAGTTTTTCTCTATTGATTACTCCGGAGGTGAACCATGTGGATGCATCAGATTAGATGCTTGATTCTGGTGCTACTTATCATGTGACTCCTAGGCGAGATTTGTTTACATCATTTGAGAGACTCGATGGGGGTGTTGTTGTTATGGAAAATGATCAATCCTGTGGTATTTGTGGGATAGATATCATGAGGATTCGGATCCTAGAGGGTGATGATTAGGGTCTTGTGCTAATCTAATCCGATTTTATGCCAATTAAAAGTTATTAATAAATTATTCTTGCAAGATAGATATACAATATGTTATGAGCAAGAATATGTAATATGAACAAAGGTAAATATCCTAGCAATGAGATATACTATGAGATATATGCGAGGATATACAAATAACACAAGGGTAAATAATCTAAACTAGATAGTGAGCAATATAAGCAACGAGCAATATACAAATACGATATAAGATATGAA